AAAAAAAGAAAAAAAGAAAACACATGAAAGGGTAAAAAGGTTTGTGGGTCCTACGTGGCAGCCTCATTCTTTTTATTGCAAAAAACCATGAATAGGCCGATGCGTTTTCGACTTCTGATTGGCTGCTCGTTGTACGTCAAAATATTTGACATCTTGCATTGTACGGACAGCCCTCCATTGTCTCTCTCCTCACAAGTTTTTTATTTTAAATATAAATAAATCTATGAAAAAAAAATCTCAATATATTTATATTTTTGGCCATATATATGAAATTATGAATGCAGAGAGTTACTGACTATAAGTGTCAATTTCTAATGATTGGTATTTTATGTATTAATATTTTATACTTTGTAATTATAAGTGTTTAATTTTGATGTTCCACGAGTAGTCTTTATAAGTTTGAACTTTTATTTCTAGAACTTTTTAAGAATATAAGTATTTTTATTAATTTGAATTATAAATATATTATTATGAAAATGATGATTTATTGACTGTTAGTGATTTAACATTCAGATTGTATACATAAAAAAAGTTGAATCTACATCTAAAAATAAAAACTAATATTATATAATTAATCACAATTAAAAAGTAATAATTTATTAATTAAATAAACTTATATCGAATTTATTATAGGATATGATTTCAAAACATTGTTATAATATAATACTAGCTATTCCTAATAAGTGTACTTTTTAAACAAAACAAAAATACAACTTTTAAGAGGTAATTGAAAATTTAAAATATTAAATTCTATTATGTTTTTTTTTTTAAATATAAAATTCATCATTAACATCTATAGTACACAACATTGTACCATTAATAGTATTTTATTGTATGTAAATGTACAACTCACAATAAATGTGTGTGTATATATTCACATCATGTGGATGTGAGCATGCATTTTCTCTATTATTATCGAGTCTTTGGATCTTGACTTTTCATGGGGTGATTGTTTTTTCTTTCCATCACATGAATTTTTCACTATGTGGGGTTTTGCTAAAGCTAGAAAAAAAAATGAGATATTCCTTATATTTCTCTGTTCTTATATGGATTAAAGACTAAATACCAATTTTTATAATATTAAATATTTCTATGTTACAGTCTTGTGAACTGTGTGAAATATGATATTTAACAGGAAGTAGACTATAAAGTCTGAGAAAAAAGTGCAAAAATTAATCAAGAAAAGATGCAATTGCCATAACATACCCATGTCATATAGTATAATTTAATCCATCAAGATAAATAAAAAATTTTAAAAATATATATAAACCTTTTTTCTATATATATTCATGGGAAGGTTGACAAAAGGGAGATTGATGATGATATATGAATTATACCTTCCTCAGTTAAGCTAGCTGTGACAAAATTTAATTTACTTATCTCTTTNTTCTCATTTTCTTGATTTCTTTTCTCCTATTTTGTCCTCTCTCCAAAACATACACATATATTACATTTGTTTCTTCCCTTTTTAGGCCCATTTCACATCTCACATCCAACCATAAAGCTTCTCTGGGTATTTTCCATATTTGCTAGCAAATCCTTCTTTTAACCAATCTCTCTTTATCTCTCTACTTAAATATATATACATACATACTTGCTTCTTGCTTCCTTTTATTTTCCATCAATCACTTGGTTTGGCAAATTTTCATCTTCTTGCTCACAGGTACACAATAAAGTTTCAATCTTAATTTGCTACTTTTCTTTTCATATTCTTACAAACCCACAAATTATATTTAGTCTGCAACCCAGATTTTCACATACATATAATAATCTCTTTTTCTTTTTGATTTTTTTAGATTTCAGAAGGGGAAAAAAAAATCAGTGTGAAAATGGTTAGAGGAAAAACCCAGATGAGGCGTATAGAAAACGCCACAAGCAGGCAAGTCACCTTCTCAAAGAGGAGAAATGGTCTGCTAAAGAAGGCCTTTGAGCTCTCAGTCCTTTGTGATGCTGAGGTGGCACTCATAATCTTTTCTCCTAGAGGCAAACTCTATGAATTTGCTAGCTCCAGGTAAGAAAAAAAAACACATATATACTTTACTAATCCTTGATTTTTTTCCCCCCTATCTCTGTTGATTTTCTTGCTGGATAATGTTTTGCTGTTTTTCTCCCTCTTCTTTTTTGGGCTATAAAAGTTTGACATCTTGCTGCATAAAAGATGTAGCTTTTTTTGGTTTGATTATGGGTCTGTGAAGTGGATCATTGTTTAAGATTGTGATTATGAATATTTGTGAAATTAGGTTTTCATCTAGACCTTGCTTGAAATTCAAGATCCTTCATTTTTGGTTATATAATGGGATTTGGTTCTTGATTTCTTGAGCCTGAATCTAGCCAGTAGACTTTCTTATTTTGTTTCTGATTTTATTTATAAATTTAGTTGGTTTGTTGAATTTTTTGAGGTGTACTGCTCATGTGAAGAGACTTTTTGGAAAACCCATCAATGGTTATATCATAAAAACCTACATACCCTTTGTTCTGAAAATGATACCTAGTGCATAACTAATTAGNAAAATTGATGACTTTAGGCAATAAAATAATTAGGTGTTTGAATCTAGTTCATTTCATTTCATGTACTAATTATTCCCACTCTAATAAGGAAAAGAGGAAAAAAAAAATTATTGACTGAAAAATCTGGGGATTGATAAACAATTAATAATAGATTATCTCATATAATTCTGGGCTCCTACTATATATTTTCAAGTCTCTAGCTAGCTACTGGTCACCTAACTAAAACTGCTAGGGTTATGAGATTTAAATGCTCCAAGTCAATTCTAAATAACACAAACAAAACTCAATTAAAGCAATTGAAGCTTTTAGTGTAGAGGTTTGGCCTAAATTACAACAGAAAATTCAAAAACAAAAATTATTGTATGAGACGGACTAATCGTTAGGCGTATCGAATCGTCATACTTGTTTAACAAAAATATATACTTATGTGTTTTTCAGAGTATGACATTTCAGTTTGAAGTATGCATATGTGTTGAAAAAGTATGACTGTCTAACTATTAAGTCTAATTAACAGAAAGACTTATTACTATTATTCAAAACTTTGTTTGAAAATCACAATAAATAGCAAATTTCCTTGATTGAGTTAGCAAATTGTCAATTAGAAACACATAATTAACAAGATTATATTAATACCATTTTAGTGAGCATATAAGAAAGTGTGCTACATCTGGTAAGCAGTGAACCAAAAGCAAGTATAATTATTACTAAGTTATTTAGTCATAAAAGGACAGTTGTCAAGAAGGTAAATGGAAGCATTTTTCAAATTTCACTGTCTTTATTTAAGAGGCCATGCCCTTGATTTGTCCCCTTTGCATCACACTTAGAGAATCTTTTTATTTGGCAAGAAATTAACATTTTTTGTACGGATTTTATTTTTATTCCATGCACAATTATGTTGTGAAGATACCAATATAACTGTGCAAAGTTTATTTTATTTTATTTTAATTTTTTATTATAGTACTCAGATTTATCCAACAGCTTTTCTCAATTCTAAAAACTATTTAAGGTACAAGTTATATTTAAAGCAAGATTCTCTGTGCTATAGCTCAAACTATGAACAAAAAAAATGAGACTTTATTACCTTTTTTGGAAGAGGCGTGTTTAAACAAAAAATCCTCAAGTGTGTTATTTATAGTTCATAGGGTTGCAGATTTATGCAGACTAATGTTAAAGGCGTGTTTAGGCGTCCTTTTTTTGTTATTATTGTCTTTTTTTTCTCTCACACATATTTTGTTAGTACAACATTATATTGGTATGATTTTCAAAAATTATTTCATTTTTGAAGTTATTTTTTTGAAAAATAATAAAGAACTACATATATGCTATTTCAATCTTGTAACTTTTAAATATTTGCACATTTTTTAGCTCAAATATTTTTTGATCTTGCGATTGATCTGGCTGTCGAATGACGTTTTAACATTAGTCAGTATCATAAATTCTTGTATGAGACTACCTAATCATTAGGCGAGTGGAATGACAGTCATTTTTAACAAACGTACATACGTATGCTATGAAATGTTATAATTAATTTATGTTGTTTTTTTAACAATTTAAAAAATATGGCTGTCTAACTGTTAAAACTGTCTAAGTAACGTTGTCAATAATTATTAATTGTTTTAAAGGTTGTTAATTTAATGATATAACTTTTGGATAAGAGTGTGATCAAGGATATTTTGATTATTTCTCCATCTCGGGTCTTAAGATTGTAATTATGGGGCCAATTTTGCTTGTAAGCTAAGTAGTTAAGCTTTTAACTAATTCACCATGTGAAATTTGGCCAAAACATACAAGTATGTTTACATGATTTGCCTATTATGGATAAACATTATAATATGATGTTGGTGATATACATTGATTTCTAACGCTAAAATGTTGGTTGTGCCTAAACCTAATCATTGGATAGACATATTAATAAATTTACATATTTTTATAATTAAATATTATAAATTACAAGCATGAGAAATTTCATATCACAAATATATAATTTTATTCAAGAAGCATGATATATCAACCCTGACAACCCACTTACCAGCTAAACTCACTCATAATAAAATTTATGAAAAATTTCAATTATGTATTTTGTGATTAACATGTAGTACAAGAATCAAGAAACTCTATTCTTACTTTTTTTTCAGTCATTCACTATACCAAAAAAACCATTAATTTATTGAAAAGCTCCACATGATCATCTACCCTAATTACACTTTACTTCCATATCTCAATACACAACATTATATTGGATAAATAATAAGTCATAAAAAAGAAATATAACATTTCCTTAGTTCTTCTTTGCCTTTTTGTCCTTATACCCTTTTGTACTTCATTGTTTTTATTGTGTCTCTTTATATAAGATGCATGAGAATACATGATCTCAAATTTTCATTATAGCCCAACATTTTTACTTTTGACACATAAGGAAAGCAAGATATGGCCTTATTCCTATACACACTATCAAGTATAAAACATATTGTAAATCATATCCAAACAATTTATATAGTGGTATTTTCCCCTCAAATCTTTATTAGAATGTACTGAAATGACAATCTATGCCATAATCTGATACTATAATTAACTTCTTCATTGAGCATGTTAGTGACTTCTGAGTTACATTTCTTTTTTCTTCCTCTTAATCTGACATCTTTACATGATTTTACCATAAAGAAAAAGAATCTTTCAATATATTAGGTAATTCATACATAAACTGCAAAACGGTTTCAAAATGATAGTGTTCGATATTGATTAGTTGGTTTCATCCAAAAAAATTATCATCAGCATGCACGAGACAATAGAACGCTACCAAAAGCACGCGAAAGAGATTCAAGCTACCAATCTTTCAGTGGAACAAAACACACAGGTAAGTTCTATATATGATGAATATTCGATAATATTGTTGTTTAACTATGTTCTGTTTAACTTTATAAGTCCCAAATATTTTGGCTTTTCACCCATTAAATCCTTGATTTTCACCTTTCTTTTGAATATATTGCAGCACTTAAAGCATGAAGCAGCAAGTATGATGAAAAGGATAGAGCAACTTGAAGCATCAAAGCGGTTTGTACATTGCATTTTTGTGTTTCTTGAAAAATATATCGACATGAAAAAATGAACCAAATTAATAAAGCTTGGATGGAAAATTGGAAAACCATTGGATACAATTTTGAAAATAAGGAGGGAGAATATAAAATAGCTTATTATTGGAAGTAACTTGAATCTTGGACAATGAACTACTACATATTGATCATTTGTTGCTTCATTACAAAATGAACATATATAGTTGCATTTAGGTTGTTTTTTCATTACAAAATGAGTTTGTTTTTTTCCTACAGGAAATTACTTGGGGAAGGTTTGGGAACATGCTCCATTGAAGAACTGCAGCAGCTCGAACGGCAGTTAGAGCGTAGTGTTAATGTCATACGTGCAAGAAAGGTGTAAAGTTTTGTTTTTCGTTCTTGCTTTTCTCGATTGGTATTCAGTTTCTGTTTTCAAATTCGAGTCAAGGTAGGAAACTTTTGATCTTCCAATTTTCATTGAGTTAATGANTAAAAGATATATGCTTCTATAGACTTTGAAAGGAGTACTTCACTTTTTGAGTTGCATGATATGTATATTTTGTGATGGGATTAAGATTTCGAAACGCGATGAATGAAAAATAGAGTACTCTGAGGAAAGTTTATTATTAGTATATGCAGATAATAGTGACATGCATATATATGTTGTTATTAATCGTGATATCTCATATAATGCGGTTCGGTTTTGGAAAAAACCCAGGAAAGAGCTTTAGCTGCTGAAAATGCCTTGCTTTGTGAGAAGGTGAATAGTTTTTCTACATTTCTACTTCTCTTTCCTTTCTATTAGTCATACAAGACTAAAAGAATAAATAACTAAACTTTCTTAACGCGTTTAACTAGTTCGGTATAGAAGCACAAAGAAGAGAATCGAAGGACGAAAGGGTAATTGGGACTTCTGCAGAAATCAGCGAAATATCGGATGTGGAGACCGATTTATTCATTGGTCTGCCCGAGATGAGGAACAAACGTACCTTCCCAAAATGAAACCGTGAAAAAGATTAATTAATTTTCGCTCGACTTTTGTAAGTTATGTAACATGCATCGTGATTTATTATTACTATCACGAAATCAGGCATTTTAATTCCCTAGTCTGAGCATTTTTCATAATTTTGAAAGTCTGCAAAAAATAATGCTGTCCTCAAGTTGATGAAATTTGCTCTATTCAATGTGTTTCAAGAGATTGTTTCTTTGATTGACTTTGATGGGATATTGTTTGAGGATCATATATATTATTAGTTATGTTAAAAAAGATGGAAAATTTGTGATGGTAATTGTAAATTTTGGTGAAATTTTTAATCCAAAATTGTGGTCCTTTTAAGTTTGAATTTGTTCAGTTGTGGATCTTATGTTGGTGCAAATTTAATTCTGGAGGGCTACTCTTAAGTCTTCAATACCTTATTTTCGAGCTTTCATATGTTGAGCTCGGGTTTTCACGTTAACTAAACAAGCTACAACTATGATAGCGACCAAATCGTTTTGTTTAGCAGTTCTACTTTTGATGGCTTTAGAAAGACTTAATTGGTAACTGTGCTAGATTTTAAGGGCATCGTTGCAATTCTGTCAAGGGAATATCTGCAGCCTTAAGCACTATTAGTAATAATAAGAAAACTTGATATTTGGGTGATAAAGCTTCTCCAAAAAAACGTTGTTGCCACAAGAATAATCTCATCCAGGTCAAGAATGTAATTTCCTCCTCACTTATCTGTCATTAATTTCTTCATCAAATCTTCAGGATAATCACAAATTCACCCCTCAAAATTAGTCTTATTCACTAGACACCGCCTTAATGACGTCATCACCAGCAACTTGAACCACAATCAATTTGAAACTTATAAGGAAAACGATTATTACAAACTGTACCATATAATTAACCTTAATTACAAAAGGAGCCGGTTTGATATTTCTCAAAGTTAATGGTAACACTTTCATAAATACTGCAAAAAGCCAAAAACTTGGATTAAAAAACCGTCAAAAAGACTCAAAAACAGAGTTTTTTTTTTTTTTCCTCGTTTTTGCAAGAAAAAAAGAGATATATGAGATGGGAATAAATTATATTGCCAATAAAAGTTGAGGAGCCAATCAATCTTGCTATTGCCAGGGCAGCATTTGCTGGGCATAACATAACCGGGCAATTTCTGCTTCCGACACTCAATATTCATTAGGCACAAAATCAATCAATTATTATCCAAAGCATATGAACTTGGATTGTACCAAAATTTTGTGGGTACAACCTTCTCGACCAGATAAATTCAATAATACTTCATCTGATTAAAACAGTCCACGAAAAATACTAAAATCAGGTCGGACAGAAAACAATGAATTTTATCTCATCGGTCGTAATTAATGATAAATCGGTATACTTTTCTAGATATAAGAAATTTATGTAGAAAAAAAAAATGGCAATTAGACATAGATATGACTTGTGAGAGGATGAATATGTATTTCCCTTATTTATTTTGGATTTCAATATTTATTTTCCAACTTAAATATGAGATACTAATGCCAAAAAAATTACCTTCTTGAAATGTCATCTACATGTTTTTACAATTTTTTATCCAAGTTTTACTTTTCCATTTCATATCAAGACATAAGAAATTCAACACTAACACATTTCATTATGTAAAATGAACTTTGATGCATATGCAATATGCTATTGCTCTTTTATAGGCAAAAGACTATATAATCAATAATCCATATTAGCTGATCAATATTTCTCATCACCATATCACATAAAGCCATCAAATGTCATTTATCTCCAAATTAACAGATGAGTAAAAAAAAAAAGCTTAATTGCAAGTAGCTAGACTTCCAAATATCATCCCCCCCAAAAAAAAAGACAAAATAAAAAACACAGCCATATAAATCACCAAAAGAGTGAACAAATATTTATAGAAATTTGGATTAAACATTGTAGAGGTGCTGGTCAAAGAGTCCACCCCTGAAAGAAATTACTTTGGTCAACAGCCATGTTTCTTGCAGCAGCAGATGAACCTTCTCCAATGTTATTATACTGTTGATACCTGTACAAAATAAACAAATTCATCACTTTTATTTATTTATTTAGCTATATTATTCTTCTTATGTGATTTTTTTTATTTTGTAGAAAATTTAAATTTTATACCCTATTTGCAAAATGGGTTCCGGCTCGATTTCGACTTGATTTGGAAAATTGCCTCCATTCCACAGGGAAGGAAGTGTTGACCTCAGGCTTTGCCCTTCAGTTTCAATCTGTACATGTATAAATAAATGTTAAATACAAATCTTGGCTAGTTAATAAATATATAAATATATATATATATATATATGTTTTTTGTACATTTTTTTTTGTAACATATATGTTTCATATAATATATTAAGTTACTAATTAATGTTCGATAGTACCGTTGACATTTCCAGTGAAACTCTGAGCTTGAGCTGCTTGTTCATGTCTCCAAGTTGGCGCTCCTGCAAATGTATATCAAGAATTTAAATTTTTATATTCAACATAAATCATATTTGAAATAACTAATGAGTCACAATTATATGGATATATATTTTGGTTTGCTGCTACAAATTGATAAATTTAATCTACCTTTCTACGAAGCTCTTCCATTTGTTCCATCATAATTTGAGTCTGCAAACACACATAATACCAAAATTTTCAGTTTCAACAGAAGTTCTTTTTTTTTCCTTATAACTTAATTTGAGAATAAATTATTTAAACAATGTGAGACATACTTAGTTAACAACGAACAAATATGTAAGCAAAACTATGGGAAAAATTCAAAATTAGTCCCACAGATATAGGGGGGTGACAATTTTGGTCCCGACGGAATGCACAAAATATGAATAGTCCCACAGCTTTTAAAAAATGATCAAAAGTAGGACTTTTTCGCCGGATTTACTATTTCCGGCCCGGAACGCCACGTGGCGCACACGTGGCTTATTCTTTACACGCTGGCGCACACATGGCGCACACGTGGCTTAGTTTTAAATTTTTTCCTATCTAGGAAAAAATTCAAAACTAGTCCCACAAGTTTAGAGGAGTGACATTTTTGGTCCCGATGGAATGCAGAAAATTCAAAACTAGTCCCACAACTTGTAAAAGAATATGAACACGTCGGATGCCACGTGGCGTTCCGAGCCGGAAATAGTAAATCCAGCGAAAAAGTCCTACTTTTGATCATTTTTTAAAAGTTGTGGGACTATTCATATTTTCTGCATTCCATTGGGACCAAAATTGTCACCTCCTATAACTGTGGGACTAGATTTGAAATTTTCCCGCAAAACGATGAACTAATAAAGTCATTTGAGTTTGAGCTGTGAGATTGAGCCAAAATCATGATCAAATAATAAATATGCATGAACATAAAAAGTTTGAAAATGTTTGAACTCCAAAATCATTTGTCAATAGTCTAACATTGTTTCAACATAAGTTCTTCTGGAAATATATTAACCATAATATCACTGCATTTTCAAGAATTGATGGTTATTTTACACCTAAGTCCATCTGAAAATGAAAACTCGAAAATGATTCAACGCCATAAGTCTTGATGAATATGAACGTTGAAGGCTAAGGGAGAATATATAACATCATTAATATTCATCATAATATTACAAAACTACCATGTTTTTAATAAATTACCTTCCTTTGCCTAGCTTGAACAAGAGCTCCTTCCAATTGTTTTTCAAGATTCTGCAACTCTTTAAGACTCAATGGTCCAAGATCTTCTCCAAGCAAGTGCCTTAATTTTTTCCATTAATTGCCATTGACATGTCAACGTAAGGGTAATTAGGATTTAAAATTTTTAGAAATAAATAAAATATAAAGGGGTGGAGATGATGATTTTTACAGGCTATCATCATCTAACCCCTTATTGGCTAGAGGATAAAAACTGCCACTCAACATATAGATAAAATCACAAATTCTTATTTGAGACAGCCTAACTGTTATCAAACAATATACGTCTTTTCTAATAGTTAGACCGGCCTAACAAAAAATCTACCGAAATAAAATAGATGCATTTAGTACATAATCTACTCCATTAGGCTGGCTTAACACAAGATCCACATAAATAAAGTAGATGCATTAATTCAAAATCTACTCAATTGGAAGTGAAAATACTAATGAAAGTCAAATTTTTAGTACATGTTTGCATATGGAAAAAAAATTAAGTTGAATGAGGTGGCACATACATACCTTTGAGTCCTTTGAAGAGATTCATATTTGGCCTTCAATTTTGAGACCTCTTGGTACCAACTCTGTGATTATCAACGAAAATAAAATATGTTGTTTATAAATTTAAGCAATTTTTACACACTGCCATTAAAAAATACAAAGTCAAAGATTGAAAAAAATAAAAAAAACCTGAGTTTCTCTTTCAGCATTGTTGTCTAAAGGATTGAAAGAACAACGTTGGTAGCGTTCAAGGGTTTGAGTTGTGCTGCAAGAATAATTTATACAGAACAATTATGTGAAGTAAACAATTAATAATTTTTTATTTTTTGGTAGGTCACCTGTGAGTTATTTAAATTATGAGGAAAATAAGAAGGGAAAAACATTGCAAAGTTTCTAACTTTCCCATAATATATATAGTTATATCATATGATCAGTTAGAAAAGTTAAATAATTGTAAGCAAACATAAATGATGGAAAAGAACAAAATATTTTTACTCTAAAAAATAATGGACAGAAAGGGACTAATGAATATATGTGTTCCNAAAATATGTTTTGAACTAACATTTGAGAAGAAATAAAATAAAAATGAAAACTTAGATTATTTAATTTGGCTGACATTGTGGGAGATCACATTGGCCTGAAGAAGAATGCCCACATTCCCCAAAAAATATGTTTCACCAAAATGTATAATTCAAGCCAATTGTTCCTGACTCCTAGCTCAAAGCTGAAAACATGCTAAATCAAGTGGAAAAATTAAATGATGAAAATAAAAAGTGAGCAAAAAAGAAAACTTTTGCCTTCCCCTTACAAAATATTGTTATCAACTCTCAATTCCCAATTTAATAATAATAATAATAATATGAGGAAAGAAATCGTTTTTCCCTCATCAAGAGTATATATAACTATTTATATTGAAATTTATCTTAGTTTTAGAGTAATTAAGAACCTGAAAAAAAAAAGGAAAAAATGAGAGAGAAGAGAAGGTTTTTCAAAAGCAAGAACCATATAAGAAACCAAGAGATCTAAAGGGGTAAAAAAGAACAGACAAAACTTTGAACTCTTTCTTTCTCATGAGCTTCTGAACAAATGAATCATTATTTGTGTACCCCACCAAAAAAAATAAAAAATAAAAAATTGAGATACACACAATTATTTATATTTAATATTATATATGTCTCTCTGTGTGTGTTTTCACACAGAGGCAGGAGAGAGAAACCCTAGATCTTGCACAGAGGTCCAAGAATGGGGTTAGAGAAGTTTCTTGGCATACACAAAACACAACTTTTAGCCAAGTTTTCTGCTTTTTTCTATGGGATTTTCAGAAATCCATACAAACTTGTCCATCCCTAACAGGAAATCATCAGCACAAGGCAAAAAAGATACAATCTTTAAAAAAATAGAATAAAGATTTGTATGAAAACATGATGTATAAGTAATATAAAAATGCAATCTTTCTTAAAAATCTGTGTTTTNAAGGCTAGAGAATAAATAAAATTTATATGGATTGTCAGAGCAAAATAATGAAATATACTCCGGTTAACAGAAAGACCCAATTTGCTACTTTACTCTTTAGTTTAAGTGCTTGCCCAAAAATAAAAAACCTATCTTTAACCAAAAATTTTTGAATCATCAAATTCTTTGGATTTGGTTCAAATTAATGAAAAAGATTTCATTTTTACTTCTTTTCAAGCGTTTAGGTATAATAATCTGAAGAAAAGCCATATAACTAACAACCAAAACATGATGAAAATGAGATTAGATATTAATCAACTAATATTTTTGTTTTGTCTTTATGAATTTATATGTACATAATTTAAGCATACCTAGTGCTACCAAATTCATAAAGCTTTCCCCTGCTAGAGAAGATGATTAGGGCAACCTCAGCGTCACAAAGTACTGATAATTCATAAGCTTTTTTCAGCAGCCCATTTCTTCTCTTTGAAAATGTCACTTGCCTGTTGATTTTGTTTTCTATTCTCTTTAGCTCAACTCTACCCCTTCCCATTTTTCCCTTTTTTTTTTTAATTTTGAAAAAAGAAAACACACTATAAAAGTGTATGTGTGTGTTGATTTGGTTCTATATATATAGTGCAAGAAAAAATAGCTGGGAAGACTGATATGGGTTGAATGAGTGTGTAATAAAAAGTTATGGTAAGTACTAAGTACTGAAAATTCTTGATTTTGTAATAATAACAAATATATGTGTGGGTTTATTTTTTCATATTTTTTTCCGCTTTCAAGATAATGGTAATACCTCACAATTGTTCTCTTTGTTCAATTATTTCCATATTTTGCCTAAAAATTGTGTAGAAATCCTGGTGCTGGTCATGCAACCTGAAAATTAATGTCACAATTTTTATTTTATTTTTTTAAATTTTATTTCCATTTGTTGTGTATAAAAATTTAATAGACCAGAAAGCCTTATTATTCTTTTCTTGTGTGATAGTGTGTTTTTGTTGGAGTAAAGACTGATAGTGTCACGCTCCTGCTGAGCTCATGAATGATAATAATAGAAACTATGAAAATATAGTTAAGCAAAGTAGAAGTTGCTACTTATGTGCAAAATTTAAAACCAAAAAAATGCAACAAGAAGTAAAAAATATTTGTTTTTTAAGAATTTAAATTTTAAAGTGGGGTTGGAGGTGCCCATGTGAAATGGGGCTTAATTCATGGATGTTTACATTGATTTGGACAACATAGAAGAATGTCTTTGATAATATTAACCTTAACATNCTTGTTAAATATTGAGGTCTTTGTTAATGGTAATATTGGCCCTTTGTTTTTTTCACTATTTCCTTAAATGAGATTCTAATATGTACTTATAGACCAATTTATGCATCACATTGCCTATATAAACTAGATACATGGGACTCTTATTTGATTGTGAATGATTAAGGATATTTTTAAATAATCCAAGATAAGTGATGAATAAACCATAACATCTTGCCATATATAGTATAATAATAGTCATACCAACACTATAAGGCAATCATCAAATTCGTACAAAATTCCAACCGCAATTCAGTAGATATTTTAATTTTAAACTTTATGTTGAATAACTCCATATGAACAAAAATATTTTGTTGGATTATAATGATTCCAATGACAATTGTTTCCAACATTTGGAATTAGTTGCGGACAAAAAGAAAATTAAACAAAAATTTTCACAACAATAAAGCGTTCGAAAATTTGTTGTTAGAATCATCAAATTCCAATTAAAATACTCTTGTAATTTTTATCGAAATAATTTTTCATTTATTATTTCATCGGAATACGATAAGGATTTTAGAGTGCTTATATTGAGTCAAACATCCACATTACATTTCTTGTAATCACTATTTGAATCATGATATATAATACATCAGCAATATGTGGCAGGTATAATATGGACATGTGGTTTAATAGTTCTCACAACATTTAGGGGTATGTATTCACATTGTAGTTCAATTAACTAATT